GCCGCTCCTGCAGAGGGATCACCCAGCGCCCCGACCGCCCGTGCCGGCCCGGGCCACCGCGCTGCAGCACCTCAGGAAAGGGCCTTTGCTTTGCTCCTTCTCTACATTTATCACTGATGCAAACAAAGGTTTTCCATGAGAAGATGCTGTTGCTCCTCACTGAGCGGTCAGTGGGATCGAAGGCCACGAGTGAAAAATCCTGATTGGTCTTCCACCAAGGGAGAAATCGGGCTGTAGAGCCTGAGGGCATCTTCAGTCCCTTCAGTCCCACTCAGTTGCTCTTACAAACACAAGACAGCGCGAGCCTGCCCAGGGGAACGGACACGCGGGGGTGGACTGCCCTTAAAGAAGTTCACATTTAGTACTCAGCGCCTGGAGCTCTGAAACCAGCCTGGTCTGGAGAAGGGTCCCAGAAGGATCTCTGCTGCTTGCCACTGCTCCACGGAAAGAAACTGCAGGAGAAACCCAGCATAGACGTCACTTAAGGACTAGACACTTCTTGCTGTGAAAAAACAGCTTGTAGTTTTATAAAAATAGATACCTGGCACCGCTGTAACTGTAGCGAGTGGTCTCTCGCGGGCTATGAGGAAGACATACAACGTTTCCTATCTGTGTAGCTGGCTTTCGCGCTCTCAGAGCCTCCTTACGGATAGCTGATGTTTTACTTATAGCGCCAGTTGCTGCGCTCGCAGAGCGAGGCTGCCCTGGCCGGGCGCTTCCCTGAGCAGCGCGTGCGCCCCTCCGGCTGCCCGCCAAAGCCGCAGCGGGCTCTGCATCCGCACGAGAGCCACAGCAGAGCTGTAGACGGCGCTGAGGCTGCCGCTGTTGGAGGATTACAACCTGGCTCCCAAAGCAGGGCTGTGTTGGGGGGAGGGGGGGAAGATACCCTGCCCAGGTGGTATGGAGAGCCAGGACAGCTAATTATCTTCTTAATTATCTAATTAGCTGATTCTTTTAAAAATGTAACTCCTCTGAATGAGCTCTTTGAGCAGGGTGCTGAGGGGCCAGCTGGGAGCCCTCTTGTGTGCATGCATGTGTTTGCAGTGATGCTGGCTGGCCCCAGCCTGGGAGCCCCTGGGGAAGGGGTTTTGCCCCCAGCCCTGGTGAGGGATGCAGGGCAGCCTTACTGCCCGGCCCCCAGGCAGAGCCCCTTCCTGGAGAAAGCAATGGGCTTTTCCCCCTGCCCAGAGCTGTGCTGCTTTGCTGTGGAGGGCTCAGCCCTGGGAGCCCTTGTGATGGTCCCTGGAGGAGAGGTGAGTCTCTTCTGCTTGAAGCTTTGCAAGTCCTCCATGTTTTCCCCAGGATAGCTTGGGGATCACCTTGTGTGCTGCAGCTGGGGGCCTCCCTCACCCCCAGGACCCTGCAGGGGGGTGCAAGGCTGCCCTGAGGTGCCCACTGCAGGGCTGTGTGCTGGCCTGGTGTGGCAAGGAGGGCAGGGTGGCTGCTGGCCCTGAAAGGTGTGGGGCCTTGGGTGTAGGTAGTGTCTGGCTCCTGTTTTGCAGGGTTTTTTTGCTGGCTGTGTGAGACACAAGGTGATGGAAAGGGGGGTGCTGTGGCTGCTGGGATGGGTTGCAGCTGGGGGTGCTGGGGAGGCCAAATAGCACCTGGGGATGAGCAGCCTTGGGGTGCCCTCGAGCTGAGCCCCTTTGCCCTCAAGCTGAGCCCCTTTGATGTGTTTGGCAGCTCCTGGTTCCTGCCTGTTTGGAAACAACGTGTGCTGGTGTCTGGCTCATGCAGGGGCCTGTACGCCCCTCCAGAGAGGGAGAGCGTGCTGCTGCTAGCACAAATCTTGGTGTTTAACCTCCAAAAGGAGTTGTGCTCAAGGTGTTTCTTTCTGTGCTGTCTTAAAAATGAGCCCAACTTCCACCTCTGATTCCCCTCCCTTTACCATGGCCCTGGGTGGGGGTTAAAATTGCAATCCCCTAATGCAGCGAGGGGCAAGGAAGTACTTTTGCCTCCTCTGTAGCACAGTTGGACTTCCACCCCCTTGCTCGGCCTGGGGTGTCACCTGGGATCGGCAGCCCTGGCCTGGGGTGTTGCTCCTGCAGCCCAGGAGGTGGCAATGCTCCCCTGGCCGTGGTCCCCACCCAGACCGCTGCACGGGAGAGCTAGAGCATAAAGCATAAATCCTGGTGTGATGAATCAGTGTGTGTGAGAGCAGTTGTGTCCCTATCAGGGGCAGGAGCACTCGTGCCCCATGCAAGGTTCCTGGTGCTGGGAAGGTGCCAGCCTCGGCGTGCGAGGGGCAGGCGCCCACGTGCAAGGTGTGGGAAGTGGTCTCGAGGTTGTCACCGGAGTGTGGAGCAGAAGGATTTATTTGGAGGTTTAATCTTCTGAGAGATGCCCCAGCGACACATGTCTCTTATGCTGGTAGTATGTGTGGGTTTTTGGGTGTTTTATTCCTACCCTTCCCTCCGCCCTTAGGGGACCCTCTTCATATTGCAGGTTTATATGACTATAGGTTACTGCTTAGGAAGAAACGTCTCCCCACGCTGAGTGAACGCAGAGCTCAGCAGAAGGGTGCCCTGCGCCAGGCTGCCGAACGGGGGAGGCAGCGTCCCAGGCCTCGGCAGTGCTGGGTAGCCCTGCATTAAGGTTTCTTGGGTTTTT